AGCAAGCAGATGACCGCGCGCCCGGAGGCTGCACTTATTGTTGCGGGGGACTTTAATCGGAATAACCTGCGAACCTACTGTCCGACATTATTCCAGCACGTAACATGTTTCACTCGGAAAGACAGGATTTTAGACCATGTTTACTCCAGCATCCGGAACTGTTACAAATCCCTCCCCCGACCCCCGTTCGGCAAATCAGATCACTCCTCCATCCTGCTCCTGCCCACCTATAGGCAGAAGCTGAAACGGGGGCCGGTCACTACCAGGGAGGTGCGCCGCTGGTCTGACCAATCAGACGCTATGCTGCAGGATTGTTTTGATCATGTGGACTGGGAAATGTTCCGTGATTCGTCGGGCAGCGTGGACGAGTACGCAGACACAGTCACCGCCTTCATACGCAAGTGTGTTGATGACGTAGTGCCCTGCAGACAAGTCCGCGTTTACCCCAATCAGAAGCCCTGGCTGAACTGTGAGGTTCGCTCCGCCCTCAGCGCACGCAGCGCTGCATTCAGAGCGGGAAATACGGAGGAGTACAAGCAATCCAACTACGCTCTCCGTAAATCCATCAGAGCAGCTAAACGTGCGTACAGAATGAAAGTGGAAGCACAGTTCAACACAGCCAACACACGAAGCTTATGGCAGGGGTTAAATACAATCTCTGACTATAAAACTGCCTCTCGCACTCTGCCCAGTACCAGCGCTGATCTGCCGGACGAGCTTAATAACTTCTACGCTCGCTTTGACGGAATTCCCGCAGCACCACTGGAGAGCGCCCCGCCCACCGCTGATCCCAACGCCCCCTCCGTCTCCGTAGCTGATGTGTGCAAAGCCTTCAAGAGGGTGAACCCACGCAAGTCAGCAGGACCAGATGGCATTCCCGGGAGAGTGCTTAAAGCCTGCTACAGGGAACTAGCAGGAGTTTTTGCAGACATCTATAACACCTCACTGTCTCTCTCGGTCGTGCCAGCTAGTTTCAAACTAGCCACCATTGTGCCAGTTCCAAAGACAGCTAGTATTACCTGTCTGAACGACTGGCGACCTGTTGCCCTGACCTCCATCGTAAGCAAATGCTTTGAGAGGCTGGTCAGGGATATCATCTGTTCCTCACTGCCTGCCACCCTGGACCCACTGCAATTTGCATATAGGCGGAATAGATCCACCGACGATGCAATCGCCCTGACCCTGCACACTGCCCTCTCCCACCTGGAAAAGAAGGACACGTATGTGAGAATGCTGTTTGTAGACTACAGTTCAGCATTCAACACAATCGTTCCTTCGAGGCTCAACTGCAAGCTCCGGGATCTGGGTCTGAACAGCACACTGTGCAGCTGGATCCTGAACTTCCTGACGGACCGACGGCAGGTGGTAAGGATGGGAAGTATCACATCCTCCTCTTTGACCCTCAACATCGGAGCCCCCCAGGGTTGTGTGCTCAGCCCGCTCCTGTACTCCCTGTACACCCATGACTGCACTGCTAGACACAGCTCCAACGTCATCATAAAGTTTGCTGACGACACAACAGTTGTGGGCCTGATCTCCAACAGCGATGAATCGGCCTACAGAGAGGAGGTTAAAATCCTGGAAAACTGGTGCCAGGAGAATAACCTCTCTCTAAACGTCAGTAAGACCAAGGAGCTGATCGTGGACTTCAGGAAGCAGGAGACAGTACACCCATCGATTTCCATCAATGGGACTGCGGTAGAGAGGGTCAGCAGCTTTAAGTTTCTCGGTGTTCACATCAGCGAGGACCTGACATGGGCAGTGCACACCTCACAGGTGGTGAAGAAGGCCCACCAGCGCCTCTACTTCCTCAGAAGGCTGAGGAGGTTTGGCCTGAACCCCAGCATCCTTAAGACCTTCTACACCTGCACTGTGGAAAGCATCCTGACGGGCAGCATCACCACCTGGTACGGGAACTGTACTGTTCGTGAGAGGAAATCTCTGCAGAGGGTGGTGCGGACAGCACAGTCCATCACCGGGGTTCAGCTCCCTAACCTATTGGATTTATACACCAGTCGCTGCCTGAGGAAATCCAGAAGGATTATGAAGGACCCCTCCCATCCTAGTCACTGTCTGTTCTCTCAGCTGCCGAGTGGTAGGAGGCTCAGAAGCTTAAAAGCCAGAACCAGTCGGCTCAAAGACAGCTTCTTCCCCCATGCAACCAGGCTATTGAACAGCCAGTAATCACTGCTCTGCCCAGCCCAACCCTTCCCATTACACGTACGTGCACCCACTGTACTCCCGCACTTTACTTGCATAGCTGGACTTTGAATACCTATCCAAAGACAATACTCTCCCCCTGCGCTTCCACTTAACTTCCTGTACCTTGCACTTTACTAAATACTCTGCCACCTACTGTACCATCTTCTACCTCCACACCTAGTGTGATTACTTGCACATCTACATAGCATTGTAATATCCATTACTATATATAGTATATAGTTGATTACACTCACTCTACATTCCCAGTGCAATATTATATGTCTCGGTGCAATATTATTATTTTTAAGTTATTGTGTAAGATTATATGTATATATTTTAGTTAAATTGGTTTTATCTATTCTTCTATCCTATCTATAGTTTTGTTTATCTATGTGTAAATACTGTTCTCTGCATAATTTGTGGAACTCGCACTCAAGTTTTTCACTCACCTGTGTCCCTGTACTCTTGTGATGTGACAATAAATCTGATTTGATTTGATTTGATTTGATTTGATTTGCACAGAAATAGATTATCAGCATCATTGCTGTACATTAAATCCACTCCAGGTGTAATATACAAGCGGAAAACACTTTTCTAAGGCCCTGGTTAAAGATGTTCCCCCTGTATTCTCAGTTCTAAAGGTGGTATAATATGAATAAAAGTTACTGAGTGAAATGATTATGCACAGAAATAGATTATCAGCATCACTGTTGTACATTAAATCCACTCCAGCTGCAATATACAAGGGGAAACCACTTTTCTAAGGCTCTGGTTAAAGATGTTGCCCCTGTATTCTCAGTTCTAAAGATTATAAAATATGAATTAAAGTTACTGAGTGAAATTATCATGCACAGAAATAGATTATCAGCATCATTGTTGTACATTAAATCCACTCCAGCTGCAATATACAAGGGAAAACCACATTTATCAGGCCCTGGTCAAAGATGTTCCCCCTGTATTCTCAGTTCTAAAGATTATAAAATATGAATAAAACTTACTGTAAAGACAAGTCACATTAGTACCATAACAGTAAGACTTCAGCCTCAAAAAACTACAGGGAGACCAACTTCCTAGGTGCACTGAGATACGTAGTCTAACAACAATAACACAGACTAATTACTGTGCTGTGTAACTTAATGCAGTTTATTTATTTCAGCAACAAATGTTTCAAATCTATTTACAGAACTTAGCGAGACTGATGAGGATACGGGACATAAATACACCTTAAAATCACTGAAGTCTGAACAACAAAATGTGTCTGCATGTACGGTAATTAAATCAGAAATGGCGCAATAAATCTAACTTCTGTTACTCGGAGTAGTTGAAAACGGAGCCAAAGCTAGCATTAGCAAGATAGCCCACGTAGTGTTTGAGCATTAAAACATCTGCTAACAACACATTTTACATTTTAAAACGTGTTTAACCACAAGTCATTTTACAAACAGCGTGATAATTCGCTTACCGCGAGGAATAGGACGGAATTACGGTACAGAAACACAAACGAATTAAGCCTATCTTAAGCCTCGCAGAAGAGCGTCGACTGAAGACGTCATGATTTCGACATGCGCGATGAGGGAGGGGACAGGGGGGACTGAATTTACCGTAACACCGGCTCTTTGCGAATGGGCCCTTTTCACAAGAGTCGTGATTACTTCCGGTTTAAGCTTTAGCAGGGTAAAATGTACTTCCTCTCCATGTAACTACTGCAGAAGCGATGGCAAAATGTTATAGTAGTGTACTGCAATGCTCAAACACTGAGCTACAACAGCTATGTTTTAGTTTTTCTGCACTGTCGTGACAAACAGCGAGAATAAGAAGTGGATGGAAGCACTGATTTAACTTTAAACAGAGGTGAGATGCTGTATATGTGGGACAGCCTTGTTTTTACTGCAGTCTGCTGCAGCTGCTCACATCAAGCAGTCTCTGTATCTTTGTACAACATGCCAGCGACAGGTAATATTTCTGTTTCAAAAGAAAAGAACTTTTATATGTAGCATGAATTTGATGCACTCCATTTATATTAAGCTAGCTAAGCTGGCTAGAAGGTATTGCTAACCAAACTAGATTGCTCGGCTAACATAAGCAGCTTTCTGCTTTTTCAAATGTCACCGCATAAGTTAGCTAGGTTAGCTAACTAGGAGTCGTGTTTTTGATTGAGCAGTGAAAGGTGGATGTTATCCTAAGTACTGCTTTAAAAATTGCCATGAAACTAAAAGAATGATGCTGTTTTGCGGATCGCTAACGTAGCTAGCCAGCTAGCTTTAAAGTTTGCTACTCATATGAAGCTGGAGTTCCTCAAACTGCTAATGGTAGGCTAGCCTACCATAAGCTAAAACAGTTTGAACGAGGTCTGTCAAATAGACTTTACATGTAAAAGTTCAGGTTTGTGTTTATGTCACAGAAGTCTGGCATCCTGCAGCTAAATGTGTCACAGAACCTGCTCCACGTTAGCCGGCTGGTGCCAGCAGCTGATGAAAGCTAGCTCCCTTGTTCGGGATTACAGCCACAGTTAGGAATGGCTTCTAGCGTAGCTAGGCTAGCTACATCTAAACAACGTCTACCAAATTCATGCTACATATGAAAGTTCTTCTTTCTTTTCAAAACAGAAGTAGTACAGAAATCACTGGCATGTTGTACAAAGACAGAGAGACTGCAAATGTATGAGCAGCTACCTCAGCAGTAAGCATGGCTACACCACACATTCAGCATTTTAGCTCTGTTTAAAGTTAGCTTAAATCAGTGCTTCCATTCACTTCTTATTCTCACTTTTTGTCGTGATAGTGCACGAAAACTAACATATGTCTGTTGTAGCTCTGCATTTGAGGATTATAGTTCACTACTACAGCATTTTACCATCGCTTCTGCAGTAGTTGGATGGAGCTGAAGTTAGTTTACCCTGCTAACGCTTAAACCGGAAGTAATCGCGACTCTTTGTGAAAAGGGCCCATAAGATTGTACGCCCCTATTATAAGCCGTTTAACTTATTATGAACACTTTTATTTAAGATGACGAATAAGCACACATAGCGACATTTCTGGCCTCATTCCTTCTGTAAAGGAAAATGCGGGGAAACTAGATAAATATGTGATGGGGGAACTTTTGACCAATAGGGGGATTTATCAGAGGCATCTGGCAACCTGATTCATGGACAATTGCAAACCGCCCGTGTCAGTTCATCCAGCTTTACTGGGCACTTCCAGTATTCACTCAGTCACAATGGATAAAACATTCGTGCTGCACTCTGATAAAGCAGAGGACGTTGCTACGTCTTCAAGCTTCCGTCAGTTCAAGATAGAACACTTTAATTTGGCTTTAAAAGTTGATTTCGAAAAGAAATGCTTATCGGGAACTGTAACGCTGCGTATACAGTGCATTCGGGATTCTCAGAGTGAGCTGCTCTTTGACATTCATCCGACACTAAATCTACATGATGTGTCGTTTAGTCGTAATGACCAGGAATGGACCATAGTCGAATTCCTCACTCGGGAATTTACAAGTTATGGCACCACACTGGTGGTAAAATTTCCGTTCCTTTGGAATTCAGAGGATAAATTTCTGCTTGCCGTCAAGTATGAAGCTTTTGATGGACCAGGGGTAAGCATATTGCTTATTACTTAATTACTTAATGCTCTTCAGTACAAAATGTTGGTTAGTTTTTCGTGTGAGTTCTGTTTGTATAGTGTATTCTCATTAGTCGGCAGATTCCAGTGGGATCATCTCTCTTAGTTTGATTAAGCCTGGCAAGTTCCTCAAAAGTGACAACCTTGCCTACTTGTCTTACAGTTCCCTTTCATTTAGTAGTGTCCTATGTTCTCAAAATGAAGCCTGCATGTGTGCACACAGATACTCCAACTGGCCTCTTAATTTGAAACATCTTTATTTTTCCATGCTTAATTTGTTTTTTGTTGACCAGTATCCCTACATTAGTGGTCAGTTTATGATCACAGGACAACTGTTGGCTGGACATTTTTGGTTGGTGGACTGTTCTCAAAATAGCAGTGACACTAAGGTGTTTAAAAACTAACAAACTGCAGAAACACATGGAATACAGTCATTACTAGTAAACCTACATGGTAGGTGATCTGACAAAATGCCCACTAAGTGTTAAACGTAGGGGGGGTTAATAAACTGGAAACTCAGTGTAAACCCTTACTTGGGATATCTTAATAGATTTCATGGCTGGATCCAGAACAAACAGCTGAGAAGAGCCTGCCATTCCTTTACACCTCTGGTTTCCCTTTGCTGAACCGGAGCCTGTTCCCTGGCTTCCATACGCCTATGACAAAGAGCACTTATTCAGCTGCTGTGCAGGTAAATCACCACCCACTGCATGTACTGTATGTTGTCCTAGGTGTGCTGGCTGGACCAGGAGCAGACTGCAGGAAAGCTCAAGCCATATGTCTTTACCCAAGGCCAGGCTGTGCTCAACCGCTCCTTCTTCCCTTGCTTTGACACTCCAGCTGTAAAGAGCACCTATTCTGCAGCAGTGGAGGTGAGGTCTTGGCTGAGGCACATTACACAGAGAAAATATCCACAGAGTCATGTACAGATCCTTTAATTCTAAGCTAAAGATAAGCACACAACTAAAACATGTTGGTGAATAAAAATGCCCTTCAGTTCTAGTATGTTTTGTGTTTTATGACCAATTCTAGTCTAGGATTATAGAATGCAATTAAAACAGCATTGGTGAATAAAGGTTACATTGATTTCATATAAAGCCCAAAGTACAAGTTGGTGGTAATTATAGACCGAGATATAAATGCAAGACCCATGGTCAGTAACCTGCAGCAATGTAATATATTTGCCTTGTGTATACTATCATAGGCTATGTTTACATGGGAGATTTTCATCAATCTGAATTAATTCAGATTGCAGGATCTAAATGTATTATTTAAATGTGAAAGACAAATTTATGTGCATGCATGTAGCAGCATTTAGTGTCCACACTTACCTAGACATGAAACGATATTAAAATTTCATATCACGATTATCAGTATTATCACAATATTGTTCAAATGTGTTGAAAAGTAAAATAAATAAAAAAATAAATACTGATACACAAACTGAAACTCGTTTACCAACTTTTATATTAACACAAATTGGCAGCAATATGCAGTTTTTGTTTGCATAAACATTAAAAAATAAGGTCAATACATTTTTAGTATTACTTTTGTATTACTTACAATACTTGTAATACTCTGTAAACAAAAGAATAGCAAATGTATTATTATTACTGTTATTATTATAATAATAATAATAATTATTATTATTATTATTAATTACAATAACTAGGGATTTCCCTGCATAGAGAATTAAATCTCGACCAACTCTGAGGTGGGTCTTAATGGAAAACTACTACTTCTAAGAAGTGTTGCACTCGGGGGATTTCTTTCCTAACTGCAATTGCAGCATTATTGTGCCGTTGTGGCGCTGTACCCCTAATCAATACAGTGCACCAGGAAAAACTAAAAACAAAATCACAGAGGAATTGCGTGACCGTGCTGTGAGCTGCAGACAGTGCAGAACTCACACAGTGTGTCTTCACCTGTGGAGCTGCTCCTCTAAAAGCATTTTAAAACTAAAACATAAAATTAACATGCATCTGAACTGCGGCAGAAACACTCCTAAAGTTTAATCTCTGAAACTCTGCTTTTCATAAAAGCAGCACACAGCGTTTACTCGTGCAAGGTCCCGTCTCAAAGCACACTATCTTCCCTATGTAGTGCACTTCGTGGATCATGAAATAGCAAATCCTTCACCCAAAGAGTGCATGAAATGTTAGACTAAGTCATCTATAATCAACATTAACAATAGGTTACAAATTCCCTATTTAACACTCAACTGCTTGTTAATGATGATCATGTTTGTTTGAACAGTAGCGCACTATGTAGGGGATACTGAGTGATTTGTTATTCTCTTCTCAGAAAGTAAACACTGCAAGCGAGACGAGAAAGGGGAGCTGTGCAGATTGAACTTTTGCAGCGTCTCGTTCCAGAGCTTGTGAGACTTAACTCAGAGCTCATTTTGGAGACACTGCTCCACAGAAATATGTGTTAAAAGCTTTAGTTTCGATTCACAGTTGATTCACTGATTGTTTTTTTTGTTTTTTTGGCGCTAAAAGCTTCATTTTATATTATTAACGAACCATAAGCATAAGTTAAACCACACAAACCATGACATTTCTTCTATTTCAAAGTCCCCACAGACTTCTACGTTAAAGTAACCTTGCTTTCTTTAAAAAGTAGCGGGTGGTGGTCGCAAAGATGACTCGTAAGGTTTGATGTGTTGACCCCTTTCGCTACTATTTTCTTTCGGCATGTTCTGCAGACAGGGTGGTCATCTTCAATTAGCTTTCCTTCTGCATTCTTGTAAAACCCAAAATATGACCAAACGTCAGACTTGGTCTTCTTAGAAGGCTGAAATATCTCCGAATCTCCGAGTTTTTCACACCGCGGTTTTAACGATACTTTAAAGTTCAAACGGTACTACTAACCGTCATTAATTTTACCGTGGTTTACTGTGAAACCGGTAACCGTTTCATCTCTACACTTACCATAACAAGAAGAAGACACTGATGAACTTGTTTATTTATGCAAAGATTTGATCAAACTCAAATGTTTACAAAATGATTATCCTTCCATATACAGGACATAAGGTGTACACCATCTCTTTTTTTTTTTTAAATGTAGCAATTTCATTTAGATTAAGCACATTCAGATGACTCTTTTCCAATTCTTATATAGTATGTATTAGGGGTGGGAATCTCTAGGCACCTCACGATTCGATTCGATTACGATTCAGAGGGCTGCGATGCAATTATAAAACGATTATCGATGCATCTTGATGCATCTTTTTTTGCTATACAGGATTTCTATGGTATTCTTCTTGGTAGTTTTAAAGCAAAGTATTTGTAATGATCCATAATGCATTTACTTCCAATATCTTTTATTAATAAATGAAATGGAAGTGATGTGGCAAGTGAACTTGAAGGCTCTCATTCACTGCTGTTTGGAGCACATGAGACACTGCTGCCACTCATCTGCGATAAAATGCGCTGTTAGGGTGACATGAGATCCAGTGGTAATAGATGTCCATGCAGCATATTACAGCTATTCTACTCGTTTTCTTTGGTGATTTTATAACTTCGGTTTTGGTCTCATTGTAGAGAGTGGTGGGATCTCTGTGTCAGTAAAATATCTTTGAGACGGGACGTGTGCAGCATAGCGCGAAAGCCCTGTTTCTCAACGACTGAGAACTGGCCTGCAGACTGCAGGTCAGTTAGCAACGAAGTCTCGCCTGGCTAGTAACGAACGAAAAGGCACAGATTTAAGATGAACGTTTGTAGATAAATGGACTTACTCGCATTTGTGAGCAGCGCAGTACGTTAAATCTGCAACGAGAGACTGTCAAACAAAGATCGCAAAGATGAAGTCGCTTCTCTTTTGAATTTTCCCGGTCCACCTTAAACGATGCCGCATTTACATTCGGCGCCTCAGGCAGAATTTAAGGTGGAACGGGAAAATTCAAACAAGAAGCTGGAGAATGAGAAGCGACTTCAGCCTCATAAAACAGTCGAACGATGAGAGACATTTTACAAGAAACTGGTCTACTTTTAAGGAAAAGTTTTCTGGTGGAGATGGGAGGAAAACGGCTATAACTAGTTGAAGCTTGAAGCAGAGCAAAGTGAGTCTGCGTTTTCGTTTATATTGTTTAGCCTATACTAGGACATTAACACATACTGAGACATACTGGACATTAAATGTTGCGGCTCCCAAGGTGGTTTGATTTTTGTTGAAAGGACAAAATGGCTCTACTTATCATTTGGGTTGTGACTCCTGATCTAACCTGGCTTTTAATGCAGAGGGAGTCGGTCGGATTTCTCGCTCATCCAGTTGTGTTTTTGTTATGTGCCGCCACAGACTGTCCGGGCGCTGCACTTTCCCACTTCCAAGTTCCACCTTTTGCGTTCCGTCGACATTACGTTAGAAATTTAATATTTAGAAAATCGATTTTTGACGTTTGTGAATCGATTCAGAATCGTTCACATCCGCATCACGATGCATCTAAGAATCGTTTTTTTCCCGCACCCCTAGTATGTATTTTTATTCCAGTCTACCTGTTAGACTATTAATAGAATATTAGGCTATGTGTAAATGCAGCTTTTGTTGTACAAAGTAGAATCAGGAATCAGTTCACAATGGACTTTTAAATCTCTAAAAGACTAGGAGAAAATAAAGAAGGACACATTGAGTAAGTGGGATGGCCATATTGTGAACAGTTACAGTGTTATTGCTGTACCTTGAGATATAACTAATCACATTGGTTTTGCCCTCTGCCCACATCAGGTGCCTGATGGCTTCACAGCAGTTATGAGTGCCACCAAATGGAAGCACAGGAAAACAGACAACACCTTCCTGTTCAGCATGGAGCAGCCCATTCCTGCCTATTTGGTGGCATTGGCTGTTGGGGATTTGGTTTCTGCTGAAGTAGGTCCAAGGTAAGTGGCCACTATGGTGATTTATATATATATATATATATATATATATATATATATATATATATATACCAATTAAGTAAAATAATTTAAATTAATTTTAGTACCATATTAAGTGTACCGTATTATGAAACACTCTCTACTCTCTAATATTCATGTGCAAATGGCAGTAAACACCTAACAATCAACATCCAGAAAGGAGAAAATGTTATCAACCAGGATAGTACAGTGCACAGCAGAATAGGAGGTTGAGTAGGATAAACTGCTATAGAGCTAACTGCTACATTCAAACATACTGCTGTAGGTAAAGACAATGACAGCAGCACACTAACAATACACTAGACATGTACCAAGCCAAGTCTAATCACAGTACACAATGGATGGCAGAGAGTAGTCAGTAAGAAATGCAGAAATACATCAAAATCAGGTCCTGCGTATTATATTGTGTCACCGAGACAAAAGGCAAGCAAACTAGTTTACTCTAGGCCCATCAACAAACTTGGAAACCTTGAGTTAAGCATACCCCTGTGTGGATGGATCTAGAACTTTCTAACAGCAAGACCACTTGTTGTTATTACCTCAGCATTGCTTTCCCACATCCTTACATAGCTGTTTAAGCGTTATCTATTGTAGTCCAGAAGAGCAGAATGTTTCGGTGCTGCTGAGCTTCTAAAAAGTATGCGTTTTAATCTATATTTGCAATTCTAACCCTCTACAAATAAATGTTGCATTTCTCCAGTTTTCCCAAAACCAAAGTTCAGTAAATGATTAAAAGATTTAGAAAAAATGGTACTCCTAACAACTATGCAAGACTACCAAAAAGGTCACTATCAGACAAAGAGTACTGAAGGCCTTCATCTTTCAGAGACAGGAGAAAATCAAACTCCTGTCTTGCTTCAAATCTGAAAAAATCCACAGGTGTTTCAGTCCATGTTTCCACAAGACAACTAAATGTGCTTGGGATTACTTGGATCAAAAACGCAGCCAACTTCTAAGCCTGACCAAAGAAGTTTGTTGCATTTTAGAAGGGAGGTGTGGAAAAACGTCCCTTGAGATTTCTTTTAAAAACGTAGTCTTATGTAAAGAATTAGAAGCTGTGATAAATGGATACAGTGGACACTATAAATGCTGAAAAAATTGTTATTATATTTAGTGGCAATCAAAGTCATGGCATTTGTGTGTGTTTGTGTATATATATGTATAATTTGCCTGCACAGTCTTGGAACCTGCTACCAAGAATTTCACTACACAAGTTATGCATTGTATTTTGTAGTTCCTTTAAGTGAAAAGTAAAACTTGACACTTGATCTTGAAACTTAAGTTGTATGTTTTGATGTACTTCAAACATGCTCGGCTGGTTGGAAGGCACTCAGATCCAGAAGGTGATCGGTTTGGTTTAAATTTGTTTTCCAGGTCGCGGGTATGGACTGAACCATGCTTTTTGGAGGCTGCCAAGAAGGAGTATGATGGCGTGATTGAGGAATTTCTGTTAGTAGGAGAAAAGCTCTTCGGACCCTATGTTTGGGGAAGGTAAAATATCCTGAAGAGGGATGTGCCAGGAATTGGACTTTGTCACAAACTATAATGTTGTAACAGTCAGAACAAAACCTTGTATCTGCAAAATGGCAACTTCTCAGGTGAAGGAAAAAGCTTTTAATTCAAGTTAATCTAACAAAAGTTCAAGATTTTTAAAGATTTTTTCAATCGATGCTTCTGGTCCATTAATTATGATAGGTTTACACAATGTAAAGGTTAGTTGGTGTTTTAAAATGGTGTAAAAATTATTAAGAATTATTGACATGAAAGTTTCGGTTCACGTTGTGATAGTTTTTTCTTTATTAGGTATGACGTGCTGTTCATGCCTCCATCGTTCCCCTTTGGAGGGATGGAGAATCCCTGCCTGACCTTTGTCACTCCATGTCTGCTAGCAGGGGACCGTTCCCTTGCAGATGTCATCATCCATGAGATCTGCCACAGCTGGTTCGGAAACTTGGTCACTAATGCTAACTGGGGAGATTTCTGGCTCAATGAAGGCTTCACTATGTATGCCCAACGCAGAGTCTGTAAAGAGCTATATGGTAAGCCATACGGGAGAAATCCCAGAATATGTATTGTAATTAGAGTAGTTTTTTCCAGCAATGCATGGCATTTTTAATACTATGAATCATTATCTAATCCACATGTTTGTTAACTTCCTAAAGCAGCGGTCACAAGCCCTCCTCTTGGAGATCTGTTTTACTGCAGATTTTAGTTTTAGCTTTCATCTGTTATGCTGCCCCCCTTCCCCCCCTCCCTAACATGAATGCCTCTTATCCATGCAATCATGGACTTGTTTATTATCTAGAGCAGGTGTGGCAGATTGTGGTTGGAACTAGACTCCGCAGGAAGGTAGATTATTGTTGGAACAGGACCAGGGTTGGTGACCACTGCCCTAAAAACTAGTAGTTCATATGTGGGTCCACACTTTAATTTCTCAGTCTTGTAAATACAGCACCTCTTAACCATAATAAGATTCCTGATGCATGGCCTCTTGTGGCTTATTGATTTAATTTATAGTAGTTAAGAATAAGATTAGTAACTGAATAATAAGTCTAGGTTTTAAGGACTTAACAGCTGATAAACTTCACATTAGGTTAAATATGTTATGTTAACTATGTTAAATATGAATGAAAGTTCAAATCTCAATGTCAGGGGAGGCCTATACCTGTCTAGAAACGGCAACAGGTAGAGCTTTACTAAGACAACACATGGACAACACTGGAGAAGACCACCCTCTTAACAAACTGCGTGTCAAGATTGAGCCTGGTGAGCAAGCAAGTTGCATTCAGCTGTTTTTACTGTTTAAAACACAGTAGGTCTTTTCTATCACAACGTAAATAGGCTTTGGGCTGATTTACTAGAAATTTATGAATGCACACTCATCAAGCACTTTATTAGGGACACTGTGCTAATACTGGGTAGGGCCTCCTGATAATTTCAAAACAGCCTCAACTCTTTGTGGCATGGATTCCACAAGATGTTGGAAATATTCCTTTTAAATTCTGGACCATGTCGACATGATTGCATCATGCAGTTCCTGCAGATTTTTCAGGTGCACTTTCATGCTCTCAATCTCTCTTTGTACCACATCCCAGAGTTGCTCTATTGGATTCAGATCCAGTGACTGGGAAGGCCACTGAACTGCTGTGAAATTGTCATGTTCGTCAAACCAGTTTGAGACAACTTTTGCTTTTGTGTCATGGTGCATTGTCATGCTGGAATAACCATTAGAAGATGGGTAAATTGTGTTCATGAAGGGATGCACATGGTCAGCAACAATACTGCAATAGGCTGTGGCATTCAAGCAATAATTGATTGGTATTGACAGGCCCTCCACCAGCCTGCACTGTTGACACAAGGCAGGTTGGGTCAATGCATTCATGCTGTTGGCACCAAATTCTGACCCTACCATCTGTGTGCCTTATTCATATTCATCAGACCAAGCTACATTTTTCCAGTCTTCTACCATTGAGTTTTGGTGAGCCTGTGCCCACTGCAGCCTTAGCTTTAGGCTCTTGGCTGACAGAAGTGCAACCCAATGTCATTTCCTGCTGTTGTAGCTCACCCACCTCAAGGTTCCATGTGTTGTGCATTCTGAGATGCTTTTCTGCTCACCACAATTATATAGAGTGGATATCTGAGTTACCATAGCCTTTCTGTCAGCTTGAACCAGTCTTGCCATTCTCTGTTGACCTCTCACCACAAGGTGATTCCGTCTGCAGAACTGTCCCTCACTGGATGTTTTTTTCTTTATTACACCAATCTGAGTAAACTCAAGAGACTGTTGTGCATTATATTCCCAGGAGATTAGCAATGATAGAAATACTCAAGGCAACCCATCTGGCACCAACAGTAATGCCACAGTTAAAATCACATTTTTACCCCATTTTGACAGTTGATGTGAACATTACCTAAAGCTGCTGACTCGCATCTGCATGATTTTATGCACTGCACTGCTGCCACACAATTGGCTGAATAGATAATTGAATGAAAGTGTAGGCTGTACAGGTGTTCCTAATAAAGTGCTCAATTAGTGTATATTATGATTCTAAATTTTATAAATTTCTAAATTTTCTTGTTTCTAATTAGGTGTTGATCCTGATGACACGTACAACGAAACTCCCTATGAGAAAGGATTCTGTTTTGTGTCCTACCTGGCCCACCTTACAGGGGACCAAAGCTGCTTCGATGCTTTCCTTAAGGTTCACCACATTTCATATCAAATATCTGTAATTCCAGGTTCATTGTATCACCTCATAAGGATACATACACCATGGGCCAGTTTCCCCAGACATGGATTAAGCCTGATCTTGGGGCAAATTGTATTATCAGTGGTGAATTACCACTGGAATTTCTTTTAGTTTAGGCTTATTCTAGATCTGGAACTGGCCCCAAATGTACACATCTTTAGACACCAGCTCATCCAGTGTTCCCTCAGATTCAAGGGTATACCTGAGTAGTGAGTTGCCCCCTAGCTGCAGTAGATTTTAGAGCATTGCTGGCAGGATTTAATTGTATTCAGCCATAAGAGCATTAGTAAGTCAGGTGCTGACGTTAGATAATTATTGAATAAAACACCACAACTCCAACTCATCCCAGAGGTATTGGATGGTGCTTTATCATTCCAGATAACGCAGTTCCACTGTTCCACATAGTGCTTGTGGAATTTATACCCTTATAACTGACCCTTGGCATTGGGCTCATGTGTGACTATTCCATATTGCGCTATTCTGTTGGCAGTGCTTTTCTATAGATATGATACAAGCTGTGTGCTCACAATTAAATGACTGTCAGCAGTAGGTGCACCTTAACTTAGCTGAAATCATTAATTAGAAGATGAGTCAGGATACTTTTGGACATGTAGTGTAGCACTCATAATACAAATGTCAATTTCTCCACAGGCGTATGTTGACAAGTTTAAGTTCCACAGTGTGATTGCTGAGGACACTCTAGAGTTCTACCTTGAGTATTTCCCTGACTTGAAGAAAAAGAGTGTCCACAAGATTGAAGGTGTGAGAAAAGAAGCTGTTACACCACTATTAGTTGTTCTTGGATGGAATTAGAAGTGCATTATGGGAACTTGACAAATAAACTCTGATGAATTATCTTGTCATTGTGGGATTGCCTTCAGGATTGGAGTTTAATAGCTGGCTGAACGTTCCTGGTTGGCCCCCATATCTCCCTGACCTCTCAGCTGGCCAGACTCTGATGAAGCCAGCTGACCAGCTAGCTGAACTCTGGGGGGAAGACAGTGTAGACATTACTACCATCAGTAAGATTGATGTAGAACCATGGAAGACATATCAAACTGTCTATTTTTTGGACAAGATCCTTGAGAAATCTCCACTCCCTAATGGTATGTCTTTCTTTCTTTCTTTAATGTTTGCTTCTTTTAAAACATATTAGACCTGACACTGATATCAATAGAAAAGCAAATTTGTTCATGCTGTCTGTCAGGTAATCTCAAAATGCTAGAGGAGCAATACCCACACATTGTGAAGTCCAAGAATGCTGAGCTAAGACTACGCTGGGCTCAGATTGTTGCAAAGAACCAACACAAACCTGGATATCAACATGTACGCAGTTTCCTCAGCTGGCAGGTGAGGCATGACTAATGTCATGTAAATGACACTGAGCAGTTTCTGAGTAGCCTTTCTAAAACTTTACTGAAGTTCTTATTTATTCTCGACAGGGGAAACAGAAGTACACATTACCTGTGTATCGGGCTCTTTGGAACGGAACAGAGGAGACAAAGGCTCTGGCTACAGAGATTTTCTCTGCCACTTCCCATCAGCTCCATGTTAATGTTCGCAATTATGTGAAAAAGATAATGGTTTGAGTAATGTCTTTCAGTTAAATAAGTAGAACCTCATTAATCTGTTTTAATTATAAAGAGGAACTTCACCAATTATGCAAAAATATTTAATCATTCAATGGTTTAGATGTAAACAAACCATTCAGAGTGGTTTGGTGTGAAATGCTCCTAGAGAAATTTACTGAGTCAGAATTGTTCACTATTACCAGACATCCGAAGCTTTTAATGGCTCTAGAAGCTACATCCCATTAAGTTATTACACAAAATGGTTATAAATACATTGATACCTGAGACATTGTTTTGTGATAGTTTTGTTATAAAGTTTTGGCCTAAACATATTTTTAGTATAAACTATTACTCCAGGATTACATCCGTTTCCCCTCAAAACAGCATTTTCAACTGAGATCAATACACGTGAGCTAATGTGCTTTTGTTGTTACTAGCCAGTAGCTATGAGAAGGGTCTGACTGCAGAGCTGCAGATATACATGCACAGTTTCATTCCAGCGGTTTCAGGCCAGTGGAACGCATGCGCAGTAGGACAGCACGATTGTTCCATGTAAACAAAGCCCTTATAGGAAAGTTGAGTGTTAGAAGTGTTTACATTCAAATTTTAACCAATGGCCAGTCTCCTCATTTGTAAGGTCTCTGACGTGAACAGTGACTTTGTGCTGGTTGTATGTGTCACCATGCATATTACCATTCAGGAAGGGATATCATTGCCAATTATACAAATCAACCACTGCTAACAGGCTAAATCATAAGCCAAAACACATTACAAAACCATCAGAAACAAAAAGAAACACTTAATGGTTTCTATATGTTTTTTCAGCAGGGATTTGTTCAAAATCTAAAGTTTGTTTTAGCCTAAAGCTTTATGCTCAGTTTAAGCATACTTAAGGTAAAGTTTTATTCCTGCACATGTAATGTAAGTGTACACATAAAGCCCCCGTATTAAGTGTAAGTTAAATGAGCTATATGTCTCCCTAACCCGTTAGTTTACCCAGGCCACATCAACTGTAGTTAGTGTAATATTTACCCTGTGAATCTCTATATGCATTCAAACCAAAGTTTGTTTTAGCCTAAAGCTTAATATATAACGTTAGCCCAACAACAAATTTCACATATTTATTGGAAACCCACATAAAATTAATGAAATGTTGATTAGCCTAAAACTTGCTAAGAAAAACCAAAAAAGGGTTGAATGCCACTGGCTTGAACCTACTGGAGTGAAACTGGAGAACTTGTACAAAGGAGAATTACGACTCTGTAATGTCTTCCGGGTTTCTCAAACGCCAGAGGGAGCTCCCGAGCAAGTCCAAAATAAATGGGTTAAGATGGAGCATTTGAGCAAAATCATAGTTTATAAATGCTTAAACACTTTTAATGTAAAAGAATACAACCATTTCCTCAACCTGTTATATTTTTAAGAGCTTTTAAACACGAGTTATTGGAGTTTAAAATACCACCTCATGTACATCTATGATGTCAGTGAGCACGAACAGTCAATGAGCTGCTCTGATGATTTATTTCACTCACAAATGTTTTTTACCTTGATTCCAATTTCTGTGGTGGAAAATACAACCGAGAGAACAGCAGTTTTCTTTAGCAGCCAGCATTTGAAGAAATCCACTTTGCATTCTGTCACTGGTCTTGACACTGCAAACACAGTTACGTTGTGACAACGTTGTGACAACCTACTGTTCTGGTGCCCACAACGTTGTCTACTTGCTGTTCTCTACGTTGTCACAACGTAGAAATGTAATTTCTCATAAAGTTGTAACAACGTTGTCTGACAATTTAATCCTGTCCAAATTGGGTTTACATTGTGAATGGAACTCCATGGAATTTTGCTAAGTTGCCAAAAGGTAGTTTGAATACCATCTGACAACCTTACTGAATAATGAGGTTGTGACAACATTGTGACAACCTTATTCAGACAACGTAAACAGCACCACCTTTTGACAACGTTGTAAGAAAGTAGACAACGTTGCGACAACGTTGTGTGTAGCTTCAAAACAATAAAACACAACTTCAGGATGTCTGGTACTTGTAACGGCAACCGAATAAAACACTACATACTGTTTTTTCTCCATTTATTTTTGCATCCTGGTACAGTGCAGTTCATCACCACTCTGAACAGTTAACCAGCAGGGTGCAACTGTGATCTATCGCAGCTCCTCTGATGAATAGTCACGTAAGCCATGACTTTTGCTGACACTGTGCGATGCGACGCTGCCTACTCAAACAACACAAAACGCATGCAGGTCGGAGAGGTACATGCAGGGCATTGTGAGGAGAAAATAGAGCCCAAAAATATATTTTACCATTATCAGCATTACATACAAAACCTTATAAGACACGTGTAAGTTCACTGGTCATTTTGGATAGCAGATAAAATGGTGATATTTGTAGTGTACACATACGGATGTCTGGTTCCTAGTACTATAATGGTGAACAATTCTGACTGTAAATTTCTTTAGAGGGGTGCATTTCACACCAAACCACTCTGAATGGCTTTGTTTACATCCAAACCACTAAATGATTAAGTAGCCTAATTTTGCTAAATCGGTGGAGTTCCCCTTTAAAGGATGTTGTTATTTGATCGCTTTTCTTACATATTTCTTATGTTCATACTGATTATGAAGATTAGGGATTTGTTTACCTACTTTTTCAATATAGTTTGACTTTTCTAAAGTGCTTGCCTTGTTCTTTCTTAATTTTGACAACTAATAAAAGCAAAGATCATAATACTACGAGTCTCTAATTTGCATAGAGAGATGAAGCTCCAGGCAATTTTACGTCAAGAAATCTTTGATGGCTACGTTATGCTTGTATGTAAACTACAGTGCTTTATCTACTATTTAACTTATGTCAGAAAATGGTAATCAAAATGGCACAGCATAACCACGATAAGAGAAAAGCCAGGAGTTGTGTTTTCGAGTGAGCAGTGAAAGGTGGATGTGAGCCAAAGTACTGCTTTAAAAATTGCAATGAAACTAAAAGACTGATGCTGTTAACCTGGAATTCTCATATGAAACTGGTGTTCTTTAAATTGCTAATAGCAGGCTAGCTAGCTAATTAGGGTCTGTAGTCTGCTGGCCTACAATTAGCTACAAGAGCTAGCTTGAACGAGTTATATCAAATAGACTTTGCATACAAAAGATCTGGTTTGTTTTTATGTTACAGAAATTACTGGCATCCTATAGATACTCCATGTTACCTAAGCTAGCTAAGTAGCCAGCTTGTGCCAGCAGCGGATGAAAAGTAGGGGTTAGCTCCCTTGTTTGGGAATATAGGTTAGCTAACGTTACAGTTGGCAAGACAGATAGGTAGGTAGGTAGGTAGATACATAGATAAAATAAACCTATGATTTAGCATACGAGATTCAGTCCTCATCTATCCTCTTCCCTCTTCTCTTCTGGCCCCACTGGGAAGAGTTAAAGAGCCTAATGGGTCTAGCGACAAAGGATCTCAAAGGCAATGGCTTCTAGCTAGCGTTGTTTGCTAAATCTAAACAAAGTCTACCAAATTCATACAACATATAAATGTTCTTTCTTTTCAAAACACAAATATTACAAAAATCGCTGGCACGTCGTACAAAGACACAGACACTAGCTAGCTACTTGTTGTGAGGCAGCAGCAGTAAACAAGGCTACACCACACATAACATGAGTTTACCCAGAGAACTTGTAAAGATCAATAAACCATAAACTCATAAACCGGCTCTGGTTTACCCTGCTAACGCTTAAACCGGAAATACGCGCCTTTGTGAAAAAGGGACTTTTATTTTTGGAGCTCTTTGTCGGCCTCCGTCAGCTAAAGGTGTGTGCTTAAAATAAACAATAAATCGTGTAGCAGTGCGTACAGGAACAATTCGAGGGAAATGGTTAGTGGTTTATGCGCATGCTCTACGCAGACATGTTTAACTACAACAGAATCCTCTAGGTTGCAGGCCAATAGGCGTGTCTGCTGTTCATTCCCAGACATCCGAGTAACGCACCTCATTCGGTGGACGAATCTAGCCGTCATGACATACGCTTTGGTAAGTAAGAAGATAGCTAAATTAGATAACATTTGTAGATCAAAGATAATTACTTTCTAAGGAAGAAGCTAGCTAGTATTACAGTTGTAATAATTGTCGCATCAATGTATAGTGACGTTCCCAGCCAGACTGTTTGGCAGAAAGTATATTTAAAAGTAGTTGTTCGGTATTAGGTTGTAACTTTGTATTTTTTAGTCTGCATTATAGCTTTTCTATCAAATACGAAGTTAACTGTGTTCAAGTAGCTATACAAATTCAGAGCAAGTTTCCTAGGGAAGGGCGGACGCTTGGGCTAATGTTAAAACCCAAAACAGCAATACCTCGCAGTAACCGTGCCAGGGTTGTTTTTCCTACGAAGGCCTTAACTGCAAAATGTCAGATTGTTTGTGTTGATTTGGATCGTCTGCACGAGTGAGACTGACATTAAAGGTGCCGATGATGGGATCTTTGTTTTGCAGACCACCGCTGTGGCAGTGACTGCTGGGGTGCTGGTGGCCTCCACTGTGGCCTTTCTGGGCTACCTTTACCTTGGCAAAAAGAGAAAGTCACTGGTTACCTTGATTGACCCTTCTGAAACATACAAGCTAAGACTCATAGACAAAGAGGTGCTGTGTTATTTGCAACCCTGTCACTGTTAATTTTCCCTTAATCCTCTCTTACTCTGTGACTTTCCATGCCAAGCCTAGTTTTCAAGAAAACACATGTCCTCCGGTTAACCCATCCTGGATAATATGTATATTGCTTTTCCAATGAACATGCATCATATTTTTTTGGGTTTTTTTCTGTCTCAGGTTATTAGCCATGATACACGCAAGTTTCGCTTTGCCCTGCCAAGCCCAGAGCATATCTTAGGCCTGCCTGTAGGTAAGCCTCAGCCATTGTTCCTCAAACTTGTGTTGCCCTCATGTTCATGTTTTAAAGGGGTTTAAGTATTGTAGTTTTGTGTCAAAGTTTACCTCTTGTATCTCAAAGGGAAACACATCTATCTCTCTGCTCGGATTGATGGCAGCCTGATTGTGCGTCCATACACTCCAGTCTCCAGTGATGATGATAAGGGAGTTGTCGATCTAGTGGTTAAAGTAATCTTTCACTTCTTTACTGATCATATTGAACTGATCACATTGATCCAGGACTTACTTTAATGAAACATAATGTGAGACATAGTGTATTTGTGTGATCATTAGTATGTGTTGCTTTGCAGATTTACTTTAAGAACATCAACCCCAAGTTCTCTGAAGGAGGGAAGATGTCCCAGTACCTGGAGAACCTGAAGCTTGGAGATGTAGTAGACGTCAGAGGTCCTGGAGGCTTGCTGGAGTACAAAGGTCACGGTATGTTTTAGTGGCACTGTGCTGCGCTTATGAGAGGTGATTGATCAAATGCATTTTCTGAAGAACTGTTGCCTCACTTTATACTTACATTTCCCTTTTACAGGGCAGTTTGCCATACGGGCTGATAAGAAGTCTGCACCTGAGATCAAGAAGGCCACTTCAGTGGGTCTCATTGCTGGTGGAACAGGTACGGTCAATGTAGCCTTTCTACTACAAGCACACGTTTTAATCTACTTGCCACAGGGTCTGGTGGATGCCCACATCCTACCAGCCTCTCAGCTATTTTTCACCAGTAGAGGCAAAACAAAACACCTTTTAAGATTAGTTAAGATTCATATTTTGATATTTTATATGTTGTAATATCTTCTATATATTCTACAGAATTCTGCTAATATAGTGCACAGATTAGTTTGGCTCAGAAAAATAATTGCAAAGTAGAATGTCCTATTAAATAGTAATGTGTAACTGCATGATAATCTACATAGTTGAAATAGAAATAGATAGAATTGATTCCATGAAAGACTTTAAGTGAGAAACCCTAGGAAGAGAGTGAGTGTAGTTTTTTTTTTTCTATTTTTTTTCGCCTTTATTAACTTTCCAGAGTCTAAGATGATTTCACTAGCATTTTTGCCCATTAGCTACATTTTGTTAGCAAGTTTGCTTGTTTGAAATTTTGACCATACCAGCTCACTTTAGGTTTGTCTGAGTGGTATATCTCGCATACAGCTCTCTATCTTAGCTTTCAACATTTTTAGCATTAGCTTTGTTAATGCATCCTATGTATCTTATGTCATGTAATCTGACATAGTGTCTGGGTGTTTTAAGGGTGAAGCAAATCTACCTGCCAAATGTAAATATTTACCTACATGTTTGCAGTGTTCATTTGCCAACCTTTTGCCACACCTTTCTTTTTGCTCTCTATAATGGTGAGACTGAAAGATTTTGGAGCTGAGTGCCTTCTAGTGAGTCCTTCCTCTCTGCTTGTGTAGGCATCACTCCAATGCTGCAGTTGATCCGTGACATTATGAAGAACCCCAGCGATACTACCAGGTGCAGCCTGCTGTTTGCCAACCAGGTGTGTAACATGTTGTTAGTTTTGCTTGTATTCCTAATTAAGATTGTTTGACAGCACTGAAAAAACTAAAGTGTTTAAATTGCATGTGTGTCCCACTGTAATTATTTCTGTATAACAGACTGAGAAAGACATTCTGCTGAGGGATGAGCTTGAAGAGATCCAGGCCAGACATCCAAATAAGTTCAAGCTGTGGTTCACTGTGGATCGAGCTCCTGCGGGTACAGGCTTATCATTGTCTCAAAGAAATGTTCCAGCAAAAAATCTCATTTGCACAACTTACCCTAGATGTAGTCGATCAGCCAAGACATGTGTGGTATCCAGAGTTTGCTCTTTAGTGTTGCACTGGAGCTATGAAACTAATATTATAGTAATCAAATAGTACATTATCTTTTTAGTTAACAATAATTTGCATTATATTAGCGTTGAAGCACCAGTGCAAAAATAAAAAAGCAAACTTGAAACATGGAACATGTCTGACCAATTGACTGCAATTGGGGTAAAGGGAAAATTATGTATATTTGATTTTTTGCTGAATTTTTCCTTGCCAGAAACATACCATATGTAAGTACATGAATGCAAATGCTTGGAGCTACACAAAATCAATGTCGCATTTGCATTCTAAAATGTAAAATATGTTAAATTATGTAACGCAAGCACACGCTACATTCTGAGTATTGCAGCAAAAAGTGTTATAGCATGCATAACCCACAGGTTACACAACTCTCTCAACTCTCTATACTTCTGAGAATGATTCAGGCCACAGAGCCTTTGGCTCTTTCCTTTCAACAAATACAGCAGCACACACATCTCAGATTTTCATGTTTTTTGTTGTTGTGGCTATTTAATTAATAGCAGATCCATTTCCCACCCATTCCACCATGGTAATGTAAGGACGTGTGTTGAGTATGTACAGTAGGCTACATTTGGATCATGTACAGATCACTGGCTGGCTGGTGTTTGCATACTTGCATAGTTTGTTTCTATTATCACTGTTTTGAAGACATAATTCACGTGTGTGTGTGTGTGTGTGTGTGTATATGTTTATTTGTGTGTTTTCTGGCTGCAGACTGGGAATATAGTGAAGGCTTCATCAATGCAGACATGATCCAGGAGCACCTTCCACCGCCGAGTGATGACTGTATTGTCCTTATGTGTGGCCCACCTCCCATGATCCAATTCGCCTGCAAGCCCAATCTGGATAAGCTGGGCTATAGGCAGGGTCAGCTGTTTGCCTACTAGCCTTTTGCCTCTCCATAATGAATGCTGTATGAGGAGAAAGAACAAATGGTGGAGATCGTTTAAGCAAGTCTGACTGGCTCCAAAGTTGACAGCTTTTAGTCACAATCGCCAAACCTCTGCAGACGCACAAGTCTCACTTTAGGCTTAATAGATCTGGCCTGGAATTCACAAAGCATAAACCATACTTGTGGGAACCTATTATTCAAACTTACTCTGAGTCAGATGCTTTGTGGGTACCAGCCCTGGCATTTATAGTGAACTGTTTACTGTTAAACGCTTCAAAGTGCCACCCTGTTAAGAGATAGTTAACAAGTGCTTTTAAAATGACTATAGATTTTGTTCTGCTTATTCGCTCAGGCTTGTATTTTACTAAATGAGTTTTTATCATCTGAAACCTTGTTAAAATACTAATACGATATGCCCTTGGGAGACTTGGTCATTTGGATCTTTTGTGTGTAACTGTGGTTACACTTTATTATGTCATTGTAATGTTACATTGTAATGTAAAGAAATTTTGTCAGTATTTGTTTTGCAGTGCATGCAGCAGTCACTCTGTATTAAAGTGTTCAATGCCGTGTGCTTTTTGCAAAATATATCATACTTTACAAACATGAAATGAAAGAGGATTATTAAACCACAACTTTATTACCTGTTGACATGAGATTGAGATGATATGAGCAAAAAAAACACACATTTACAAGTAAACACATGGGAAATGAGAGGTTTTGCCCTTTTCATGCCTATGCTTGCTTCTTTTTTTGATAAGGTTTAGGGATTGTGCTGCAAATTTATAACATTTGGTTTTGAGATAGGAGAGCTCCATCTTGAAAGAGAGAAATGAAAAAGAGTTTTTGGAAAGCCCATAACCACCTGCTTGGCAAATATGACCAACCAGGCTCACAGATACTGCCTGTATTTCTTTCAAAAAACATTTAAACACTTTTTTCCCCAAACACTATTTCCTTTGTGTTTTATCTGAAATTATTGTTAACTAAGCTAAAAATTCATACATTTTATTTAGTACATTATACATTATTTTTAATACATTATAGAATTTGTCCATAATGCTTGGTAAAAAAATAGTGAAAAACTCTCATCTGAAAGATCTGTAATAGTGAGAGACTAAACATATTTTTATACAATATATAACTCATTAAATTCTTATTGTCATTTTAATTGTCTGAGGTATTTTAGTAACAAAATGTAGTATCATGTTATAAAATATATTTTTGAAAACCTACCTACCTCCTTTATTTGTACATTATTTTGTCTTTTTGGCCCATGGCCCCCCACAAACATTTCACTTCGGCCCTGCAAGATAAAAAGTTTGGACTCCCCTGTTATGGATGTATTGCCCAGCATTATAGGATCTCAAATAGTATTATAGATTTTTTAAAGACAAGATAATACAAAAATATCAATTATCTTGAATGATTAGTAAACTAAATGACTTCTGATTACAGTATGGCTGTAGATGTAGTCATTTTTTCCATCCCTTTCCTGGAAAATATCATATCCCAGTATAGGTCAATTGATATTCAAAATTTGACAACGTCTCATTTTAGCTCCGTGATCTTGGACTCGGTTTTTGATCGCAGTAGGATTTATCCGTGTTACCAGCAGAGGGAGCTGCTCTGTTATTTGTTTACAGCTAAGAGGCAGCAGCTGAAAGTGGTTGCCTGGCATTAGCAGTAGGTCGAGTAGCGTTCTCCTTTCGACATAGTGCTGTGCGGTGGCGGTTCAGTTTGTTGTAAGAACAGAACAGCATCAGATTTCTTGCACCACTACTTTGGGCGCTAGGTAAGTTAGTAAAGCCGCTTGCAGGCAGATAAGCTTCTTAGTAATTTTCTGTTGATGTGTAGCCGTTAACGTTCGTTACATGCTTCGTATCTTTAGTACTTTAGCTAGCTAACGCTAGCTACAGAAATCACTTCTCAGTATAGCCAGCAGAAGAAGGCATACCCGACTGTATTGTTAGGTTAGCTAGCTTTGTTGTCATGCGAACCAGCTGAAACAATTGGATGTGGAAGCTAAATTAGGTGGTTTTAGGCGAACACCGCTTATTTGATATGCTGGTTCGTTTCATTGTAAAGCATGGTAGTACTGAGGGAAGCGGCACTTAGCCAATGCATAATCAGCTAGCTAACCAAATAAAGGGTAACCTAGGTAGCTTAGCTAGTTAGCTTAGATAGCTGAGGAGTCAAGTTGTTTGGCGTTTACAAAGTGGACACATCATGCACAGTACTTCACAATAGCTTAATGACTTAAAACCTGACGGTCAGTAGCTAGCAGTGGTATTTTTTCGCAGTTCCCCTGTGGTTATGTAGTCCTAAGTTGTTTATTGTGCTAGCCTGGTAGCCAGGTAATGCTAATCGGGGCTCCAAGCATGAAATGATGGAACCCTATTTTAATTGTTAGGATTCTTCACCGCTAAAACGAATCGTGCAGACAAAACCGTAAATTCGTAACCTACAGATGCGAAACTTGGTCAATAGGTAGTAGTCCCTCCCGCTACTCAGACGCTCAGCCCAGTCGGCCAGATGTGGCGCTATAGCGAAGCTCGAAAGTTTTTGGGTCATATATCTTGCGCCGTGTGTCATAGACACAAAATTCTTTTTTCTCCTGTTGGGCAGTTGCATCAGCTGAACGCAGGTTCGCTCGTAGCCTACTACTACGTTCAAGTTTACGAGCTACTACCATTTAACTGATTGCACCAACTTAGCTACGTAGTTTCAGCTAGGTTTAAGTTTTAACTTTCTGTCGCAAACAAACGGTTATAATGGCTGGTTGATTTGATCGATGGGAAACGTGGAAGAAAACGAAATGCGTCTCGGTTTGTTTCGGCAGCCAGTTCTGTGGGATAAATTACACCCCTTTGATCAATTTCGATTTCGTCATTCGGAGATCACAGACCTCTTAGCAGCAGATTTGCAACACGGCACAGACAGGAACGGATCCATGAGTCCTACTTTGTGTCTGGCACTGAGATATTTTGCTACAGACCACTTGTCAGGATAAGGCACCCTCTCATGTTTTTGCTAAATAGTTGTTACAGCCATGAAAATGTATTGCAAAAACACAATTGCACCAAGTATATATTTCTAAAATATTTCAAAATTGTGTACATGGAAGGAAAGTTACTAAAGGATGCTTTTTAAGGCAGTCCATCTGCCAGGAAATGCACCCTCTCTCAGATCTAGCAAGTGTTGTCTATGAAACCTGCCTGTGTGTTACATATTGGTCACAAGTATGTATTACTAAAAATGTATTATTGTTGTACAACCAGGAAGCAAGTTACAGGGGATTCCTTTTAGTGCAATCCACTTGCCAGAAAATGCACCCCTTCTTAAATCTGTTCACGTTCATGATATTTATACAGGAAATACATATTGGTTCCAAATATGTGTGGCGACAAACGTTTCACAGTTGTGTCAACAAAAAGAAAATTACAAAGGGATGCCTTTTAAGGGAGTCCACCTGCCAGGAAATGCACCCCCCTCTTATATCTGGCTACATGGTTATTGCGTCCATGGAACTTAAACAGGTATCACATGCATGAAAGCATATAATTGTAGAAGGATGCCATTTAAGGCAGTCCATCTGCCAGAAAATGCACCCCCTCTTAAATCTGGCTACATTATTACTTTCATGGCAGTTCTATAAGTATCACATATTGGTCCCAAACATGTGATAATATATAACAATTCCATAGTTGGGTCACCAGAAAGTCACAGGGGGATGCCTTTTAGAGCAGTCCACTTGCCAGAAAACACACCCCCTCTTAAGCCTGGCTACATTATTGTTACATCCATGATATTTATACAGGTAATGTGTATTGGCCCTATTGGATGTATTACATACATGATACTTATACAGACATGATAGTAATGCAGATAATACAGATAATACTAATATATAAATACATTGAGATTACTGATCATGTAAGCTCCTGCTTTGTTGGAGTGTAAGACCGGACATTTGTGTGTGTGTGTGTGTGGCTTTATGTCTGAGGGTTGTGAAAGGTTTCTTGAGAAGGACACTCTGACATGAGATAAGGACTTGTTTATGCCCATCTTTAGCAGCCTATGGTACTTCAGGTGGAACTGGATATTTCCGTCAGCATATAACTGGGTGACAGATGACCATTTCGGAACATGCAAGGCTTTTGGACTGACTGAGAGCGTATCTTACTGATGTCATTAAGATGTGCAAGACACTGTCTTTGTTGATTGAGTCTCACTAATGACACTTTGTTCAAAATTAGGTTTCTGAACCACCCCATGTCTGCTTGTCTAAGTGCCATATAATTTGTAATAAGCTATAACTGCTTTGGCCAAGTCTTTTTTCTTTTTATGTTTATGTAAACCCGAAAAACTTTTTTACCTTTTAAATTTTGTAATCTATTCTACTGTTACAACCCAGTTTCCTAAAAAGTTAGGACGCTGTGCAAAATGTAAATAAAAGCAGCATGCAAAGATGTGCAAATGATTTAAACCCTACATTTAATTGGAAATAGTACAAAGACAACGTGTCAAATGTTGAAACTGAGAAATTTCATTGTTTTTTGAAAAAAAATGCGCATTTTGAATTTGATACCAGCAACATGTTTTCAAAAAAGTTGGAACGGGGCAACAAAAGACGGGTCAAGTTGTGGAATGCTAAAACACCTGGTGGAACATCTCACTACTAATTAGATTGATAGATAACAGGTCAGTAACATGACTGGGTATAAAAGCAGCATCGCAGGGAGGCCAAAAGCAAAGATGTGAAAGACTGCATGGGCAAATTCAAGAATAATGTTTCTCAATGTAAAATAGCAAAGAACTTGGGTTATTTTATCATCTGTGATACATACAATCATTAAAAGATTCAGAGAATCTGGAGAAATCTCTGTATGCAAGGGGCAATGCTGAATGCCAGTAGTGCACAATTATAGTGCAATAGTGCAATATTAGTGCACATGACATGGGTGACTCACAAATGTGAAGGCATCGTTAATGCTGAACGATATATACAGGTTTTGGAGTAGAGATGAAACAGTTACCGGTTTCACGGTAAACTGCGGTAAAATTAATGACGGTTAGTAGTACCGTTTGAACTTTAAAGTATCGTTAAAACCGCAGTCGATTGCCGCGGTGTGGAAAAACTCGGAGATTCGGAGATATTTCAGCCAAGTCTGATGTTTGGTCATACTTTGGGTTTTATAAGAATGCAGAAGGAAAGCTAATTGGATGATGACCACCCTGTCTGCAGAACATGCCGAAAGAAAATAGCAGCGAAAGGGGTCAACACATCAAACCTTACGAGTCATCTTCACGACCACCACCCACTACTTTTTAAAGAATGCAAGGTTAACTTTAACGTAGAAGTCTGTGGGGACTTTGAAATAGAAGAAATGTCCTGGTTTGTGTGGTTTAACTTATGCTTATGGTTCGTTAATAATATAAAATGAAGCTGAGAAGAGAATAACAAATCACTCAGTGTCCCCTACATAGTGCGCTACTGTTCAAACAAACATGATCATCATTAACAAGCAGTTGAGTTTTAAATAGGGAATTTGTAACCTATTGTTGATGTTGATTATAGATGACTTAGTTGAACATTTCATGCACTCTTTGGGTGAAGGATTTGCTATTTCATGATCCACAAAGTGCACTACATAGGGAAGATAGTGTGCTTTGAGACGGGACCTTGCACGAGTAAACGCTGTGTGCTGCTTTTATGAAGAGTTTCAGAGATTAAACTTTAGGAGTGTTTCTGCCACAGCTCAGATGCATGTTAATTTTAAGTTATGTTTTAGTTTTAAAATGCTTTTAGAGGAGCAGCTCACAGCACGGTCACGCAATTCCTCTGTGATTTTGTTTTTAGTTTTTCCTGGTGCACTGTATTGATTAGGGGTACAGCGCCACAACGGCACAATAATGCTGCAATTGCAGTTAGGAAAGAAATCCCCCGAGTGCAACACTTCTTAGAAGTAGTAGTTTTCCATTAAGACCCACCTCGGAGTTGGTCGAGATTTAATTCTCTATGCAGGGAAATCCCTAGTTATTGTAATTAATAATAATAATAATAATAATAATAATTATAATAATAAAAATAATAACAGTAATAATAGTACATTTGCTATTCTTTTGTTTACAGAGTATTACAAGTATTGTAAGTAATACAAAAGTAATACTAAAAATGTGACCTTATTTTTTAATGTTTATACAAACAAAAAGTGCATATTGCTGCCAGTTCTATTTGTGTTAATATAAAAGTTGGTGAAACGAGTTTGTTTGTGTATCAGTATTTATTTTTTTATTTATTTTACTTTTCAACACATTTGAACAATATTGCGATAATACCGATAACCATGATAATTTTGGTCATGATAATCGTGATATGAAATTTTAATATCGTTTCATCTCCATTTTGGAGCAACATGCTGCCATCCAGACGACGTCTTTTTCAGGGAAGGACTTGCTTATTTCAGCAAGTTGTTGTCAAAGATTTACACATCTTTGCGATCTGTTTTCTCATTTCCAAAAAAAGTGTCCCAACGTTTTTGGAAATGAGGTTGTATAATTCAAAGTGTGGCCTTCTGTTTTTATTTTTTGGGGGTATATTGCATCACAGAAATTATGAATTGGTGTTTTTCATAAATTTCTTTTAATTATCTCAATTATGCTGTTTTAAATTACCCAACAATGTATTAATTTGGCCGTACTGATTTTATAGCCATTCAACATCCGAATATTTTGTAAAGTATGCAGTCCTTTTCATATTTCCCACAAATATAGATCTGAGATTTTTTGGCTGACAAACTGGTTGTATAAGAGGAATAACTGTTCGAGTATTATTATGCTATATATTTGCTGGTCACATTACAATGTTCCTTTGGTCAAATCTCAAAGACCTTTTTGAAAAATAAACACTGTTTGGTTTGCAGTCTTTGATGGTGTCTCTTAAAAGATGTTTACTAGAATAACTGATCAACTTCAAGATGCCAGAATACTGTTAGTAGTGTTTTAAAATAAAAAGAAGTAAAGGTTTCATACTAGGTGGGTAAAAAAGTGGGTATTATCAGATACTTTCTATTAACATGTGCAGAGATAAAGCAGTGCAATTTCAGGCCATCCATCCAACAACCTGACATACTTTTAATTATCTTAAAATAATTCAATACAATTTCAAATAAACTTATTTACAGCTAGATTTAAGAAGGGATGCATTTTCTGCCAAGTGGACTGCATAAAAAGGCACTTATAAAACATTTTTCTGTGGACACAACTATATATTTTTAATAGTAGATATTCAGGACCAATATGTAGTAACTGTATAAATATCATGAATGCAATAACAATGAAGCCAGATATGACGGTGCATTTCCTGGCAGTTGGACTGCCTTTAAAGGCACCCCCCTATAACTTTATTCCTGTTGACCTAACTATATAATGTTTTGAGTACTATATATTTAGGGCCAAATATGTATTACCTGATGTAGTAGTAGTAGTAGTAATAGTAATAATAATAATATAGTCAGATTTAAGAATGGGTGCATTACCTGGCACGTGGGCTGACTTAAATGGCATTCTTCTGTAACTTACTATTTAGTGACATAAGCATGACATGTTTTCAGGCCCACATATTTGGGACCAACATGTGATACCTGTGAAGTTTCTTGAATGCTGTAGCCATGTAGTCAGATTTAAGAGGGAGTGCATTTTCTGGCAGGTGGACTGCCTTAAAGGCACCCTTCTATAACTTTCTTTTATTGACCCAAGCATGAAATACTTTTAGTCCCACATATTTTTGACCAACATGATACATGTGCACGTTTCATGGATGCAATAACCATGTAGCCAGATATAAGATGGGGTGCGTTTCCTGGCAGGTGGACTGCCTTAAAAGGCATCCCTCTGTAAATTTCTTTTTGTTAACACAACTTTGAAATGTTTGTCATCATGCATACATGGGATCAATATGTATTACCTGTATAAATAACATGAATATAATAGCAATGTAAACAGATTTCAGAAAGGGTGTATTTTCTGGCAGCCTCTGTAACTAATGTTCTGTTTACACAATACATTTTTATTAAAATATATTTGTGACCAATATGTAAGACCTTTGCAAGTTTCCTAGATGCAACAACACTGTAGCCAGATCTGAGAGAGGGTGCTTTTCCTGGTGGATGGACTTCCCTAAAATGCACACAATTTTTAAATATTTTAATAATATACACTTAGTGTCAGCATGTGTTTTCTGCAATATTTTTTATGGCTGTTAACAACAATTTTGCAAAAATATGACAGGGTGCATTTTCTGGCAAGCAGTCTGCCATTCCTACTGAAAAGACCCATAGAAACCCTTAAGTGTTTCTGTTGGTCCCTGATGGTTTTGTTATGTGTTTTGGCTATTTTAATGGGTTGATATCACAATGTAAATGATAATCATGATTTAACAGGTGACTAATGGCGGATTTTAAATGCATTTGATGGTTTCCTAATGGGATCTAAAGGTGTTCTACAGGAGACTTGTGGTCTCTATTGGAAACCATTCAGGTTTTAATCCTAATGGTTTGTGGTGGTCCTTTTTCAGCAGAGACATAAAACATTCCCCTATTACTTTTATTTCTTTTGAGTCGATTATGAAAGGATTTTAGCAGTATATATTTGCAAACAGCATGTACCTGTGCAAGTTACATGACAGCAATACCAGTGTATCTAGATTCATAATGGATTGCGTTTCTTCAGAATTTTTTCTTTACAACTCTCTGCCTTTTTTGTAAGATTTCTATGAAGATTTCTGAGTTATAAGCGTGCTAAGTCTAAAGAAATTAAACCAGATTGGTGAGAAACACAATGCGAGTATGTGAGATTCATATGTATGGTTCATTGTCAAGGAATAGCAGCATGCAAGTTTCATTGCATTGGAGGTGAATGCAGACTACAGTGTCACTGAACAAGCAAGCAACAGTGTATGTTGGCTACATTATCCTTTATTATTATTTAAGTCACTGTAGAAGACGCTCTGGGCTGTGTGCACTGTGTAAAACGGTGATTTACTTTATTGTTGATTGAAAGGAATGTGATCCTTTGCATGTTCTTCTAGTCGATTTAAGTGAAAGCGATTTACCGCCACTGTTACTGCCAGTTTTGTAAGCAAATGAGACGACAGCTACATTCTCAGACAGTCTAGTCTGTGGAGTGACTTTGAGGCAGAAAGATATCCTGGGAAGTTGCTCGGAGACCCATGCAGATATTAAAACCAGAAATGTGGTGGAACGGTGTATTGGTGTCCATAACAAGTGTTGGGCCTGCTAGCAGAAAGGCGATTATCAGAAATTGAATTTAAAATTTATTGAGCTTTTATGCAGAACTAGGCATTTTCTTAAGGTAATACAGTGCTTGCAAGGCAAGAAAGTAATAATTTTATACATTTCTGCAACAAGCTTGACATTGTGAACAAGTGAAAAAGCAAAGCATTTATAGGTTAATATAGGTAATATGCATTGTAAACTTGTTAGATTGATAAAATATAATTTATTTATGTATGTAGTTAATATAAAAAAGAATGAGAATAAATTTAATTTTAAAAGGCACACTTAGTTTAACTTAGGTTAATAATAATAGTAGCTGTTGAATGTTAAGCAAGTACTTGCATTTGTAGCACACTCATGCCGTCTAACGGAGAAATGTCCGAGCTACCATCATCAAATTATATTTCTTAATATGCTTGTATGTAGAAGCCTTTATATAATGATTTGTGTAGGGCACACTACATAGGGAGTAAACAGCCATTTGACATTAAGCTTATATTTTGCCCAGCTGTGTTCAAGCTGTTATTGTAGCGCAAATACAGGCTAAGGATGACATTGTATACAAAGCTCAACTATAGTCAGTGTTTGCAAATATGCGCTACAGATCAGATAGAGCCAGTAAAAGTAATATTCTCTACAAATGTGCGACAGTGATGCGCATGTGTGGTGCAAATTGGGCAGGGGACACAGATCAGATAACGGCAGTGGTGTCCTTTATTAGGATCTATGAGGCTGATGTCATGTTCGAAAGAATATGGCTGCCATCGGCCAGTCAGATTTAAGCAGGTTTTTGACAGCCTTAGAATTGGCAGATCACCACGAAACTTGAAATGCATCTCCAAGTATGGGCTCTATACTACCAACTGAAGTATGACAGATATCGACCATTGGGGGTGCTTCTGAAATTTTAAAACACTGAAATGAGCAAATGTCTTATACCATTCAGGTGATAAGCATGCAGTTAGGATCAAATAATGCACTAAAGTGAGCTTAACAACTTAGTCAGTGCGTTGTTGGAAAAAAACACACTTTGGAGTGCGCAAATAAATAATTATCAAAAAAGTTGACTTTTTAACACATCTGTAACATGTCATTAGTCCATCTGGACAGAGTTTTTACAACTCCATTATCTGGAACTCTCACATACATTGTCTGAATGAGACCAAAATTGGTACAGTCATACATAGGCTAAATCATACTCCGTGAAAGCATGCCAATTGTGGTCTAAATCAACCCCCAGGGGGGTGCTACAATATGGAATCATATATAAATAATATAACATATCTTTTCCTCAGTTTAAATGAAAGAAATGCAAATGGTGAGACATACTTGTCTTCAGTCTGTACAGCCATGCCCACAGATGTTTGACTAAATTGTACAGGCAATCAAACATTGAGATATATATATATATATATATATATATATATATATATATATATATATATATATATATATATATATAGCAGCGCTACAGCAATAATTCCACATGTTGAACATTTTTGCAAATTCATAAAACAGTAATTTCCTACACATCTTCCAAAAAAATAAGCAATATTGCTCCATTGTTTGTCACACTCTGTACAAGCTAAAAGTGAAGTAATTTTATTGGACCATGTATGTCATTTACAACCAAAGTTACCAAATTGGTTTATTAAGTATTATTTGCATCTCATCTTATTGACTCACAAGTCAAATTGAGAAATTTATAAAATCACAAGTACCAATAAGTAGACCAGGTAGACCAAAAAAAGCACTTTTTGGTTTAAAGTCTTTCATACTATGAGCATGTCAAAGATGAAGTCCAATTACTGCAGAATGTCAAAGTAAATGGCAACCAAAGTTACCAAATCAGCTCATTTGTTCCACGTCTGACTCACTCATGAGTCAAGTTTAACACATTACAAAATTGCCATTACCCATAAGTGTACTAAAAAACGGCCGATTTTGGTTCAAAATCTGTTGTGCTATAAACATATAAAGGTGAAGTCCATTTACTGCAGGATTTTAACATAACCGGCACTCAAAATTACTAAAACAGTTCATTAAGTTAGTAGTTTGCACTCCTTCCAAATGATTCATGAGCCAGATTCAACACATCAAAATATGACCAAAAGTAGACCAAAAAACAGTAGATTCTTGTTTAAAGCCTATTAGACTGTAAGCAAAGTAACTAGCAGCCAAAATCACTTATTTAGTGTTTTCACTCCATCTGATCGACTGATGAGTCAAATTCAACACATTATAAAATTAACATTACCAAAGGCTGGTTTATATGTAATATGTCATGCACTAAAAACATATTGAACAATAACGTCAAATGTGTAATACATGTCTTATTTGCATTTTAGGGCTGAATGCAAAACCAGAAGGAGGGAAGAACAGGGTGGCACATCTAGACCCACCTCTTTGTCAGAACACCTGTCAAAAGGTAACCTGTCTCTTTTAGTGCTTTTGTCATGAATTTGAATTAGCTTTAACTGAACAGTCTGTTTTGCTTTATCAGCAGTGATTCAAAGTGCCAGGCGCCAGTGAGAGACAACAGTCCTGGACGGGTCGCAGGGCAGTCTACTTATGTCAGGCCGAAACGGGTCTGCCAACGATGCAGACTGCCGAATCTCAGAGGAATGCCATGTCCCAGCCGATGTGGAGCTGATGGAACTAGGACCCCTTTTGGAGGAGCCAGGGCCCTTGGCGGCTAACACACTCTTATCAGAGGTAAGCAAATGTTTTATTATATGCTGTAAATTGATACCATATTCCTTTGTTGTTATGAACTGATGAGAAATGACTTACATGCTGCTTCATGAATGGTAATTATCAGCAGGGGTCAAGTGGTCTCGCAGTTGAGGACAATGATGACGATGAGGTGGGTGAGGTTCTTACTCTTCCCCTGCAGGCTCATCATGCTATGGAAAAGATGGAAGAGTTTGTTCACAAGGTATGATCTTTAAATAAGACTTCAGGTCAAGGTAAAATTACTGATAAATCTATCATGTAGGTAGCATGAAGTTTTTCTGCTATTGGCTATTCTGCAGGTTTGGGAGGGCCGCTGGAGGGTTATTCCTTTTCACGTTTTACCAGAGTGGCTTAAGGACAATGACTACCTCCTGCATGGACATCGGCCGCCCATGCCGTCCTTCCGTGCCTGCTTTGGGAGCATTTTCAGGATCCACACAGAGACTGGGAATATTTGGACCCATTTGCTTGGTGGGTTGGAATTACAAGTTTTGACCTAGAGAGCAGCTCCTGATGTTATGAACCTCATGCATATATTCATTGCACTGAAAAAGAACCTGCTCCAGTTACAGTGATGGTGAACAAAACCTCAGGTGTACTTAGAACATGTTTTTCCAGAAGAAGCCTTTAGACAAGCCGAAATGATCATTTCGATGGTTATTAATGACATCCACATTCAGAAATGCACTGCTTTGTGATTCAGTAAAGCTGTCAATTATAGTACAACCTCATTACCAAAAAAGTTGGGACACTGTGCAAAATGTAAATAAAAACAGAATGCATAGATGTGCAAATCATTTACTGTAAAAACTAAAAGACAACATATCAAGGAGATTGTATTGTTTATTGAAAAATGTATGCCCATTTTGAATTTGATGCCAGCACGTTTGGGACAGGGGCGTGTTTACCATTGTGTTGCGTCACCTCTTCTTTTAACAGCACTCTGTAAGCTTTTTGGAACTGAGGAGACCAACTGTTGTAGTTTTGAAAGTTAAATGTTTTCCCATTTTGCTTAATATAAGATTTCAGCTGCTCAACAGTTTGGGGTCTCCTTAGTCATATTTTTCATAATACATAATGCAGCAAATGTTTTTAATGGATGACAGGTTTTTGGAAGTGTTCCTGTGCCCATGCAGTGATTTCCGCCACAGAATTGTCTGTTTTCAATGCAGTGCAGCCTGAGGGCCCGAAGATCATGGCCAGTCTGTGTCGGTTTTCGGTCCCTTGCATACAGAGAGTTGTCTGGATTCTCTAAACCTTTTAATGATGATATGTATCGTAGATGATGATTATCCCCAAGTTCTTTGCTATTTGACATTGAGATGTTATTTTTGAACTTTTGCACTATTTGCCCACATACTCTTTCACAGAATGGTGAACCCCTGCCCATCGTTACTTCTGAAAGATTTTCTAGAATGCTCTTTTTATACCCAGTCATGTTACTGACCTTTTGCCAGCTAACCTAATTAGTTGTGAGATGTTCCTCTAGGTGTAGCATTACAAGTCTTTTGTTGCCCCTGTCACAACTTTTTGCAATAACAAATAACAAGCAATAACAAACTATGCATAACCTTTCAGAATCTTAAGCACTTTATTGGACAAAGATAAACAAAGAAGCCTTTTGAAACGACTTCATTTATAAATAAGGACAATAAAACATTGAGTGTGTCTGTCAGGCTCTGTTTCTTTCTGCAAGAGTAGTAGGAGAATTAAAATTATTCATTATCATGCAAACTGCCAGATCTTCACTGCTGATTTACTGAGAAGTTGAATTTTAAACAATGTTGGTTCTTTAAGCAACCTCTTATTGACCAGGGTATATTTTGGTTTGTCCATCTGAATTTACACGACCAAATCGTAAGGCAAATTATTCAGTAACTGCATGAAATAACTGTGAATTTGTGAACTGTGTTTTATGATCATACACATTGTTATATTCTTACAATTTACTGCTGAAAGCCAAAAATCTTAGACACTCTTTGTATACAGATATATATTTACAGAGCATATCACTGGAGAGACACCATCTGTTTATAGTTTATAGCCCTGATTTGTGGAAAAATGGGTCAACTTTCAGTAGGCAAAAAAAAAAATGAGAGTTCAGCTTCTTTTATTATAAGGGTTTAAAATTACATTGCCCATCTATTTGACCTGAAAGAAGACAGTTACAGCTCTCATGACACCCACCTTTTGAGTGTAGCTTATCAAATATGAAAGTTATGAGGAATATGCCGAAGTGCGTTTTGGAACCACCGGTGGTTCCAAGGAGTTGAAAAGGTTAACAGCACTACAATTCACATGTGATGATTATTTCTTTTTCTGGCAAAAGATTACTGTAAGTCTCACAAAGTCTTATTTTTGCCTTGCGTTCCACCCCTTATCTCAATTGCATGCATGTTCCCTCAGGGTTGATCTTGTTCCTGTGTCTGGGGACTCTCACCATGCTGAGACCAAACATGTACTTCATGGCCCCCCTGCAGGAGAAAGTGGTGTTTGGAATGTTCTTCTTGGGAGCAGTGCTTTGCCTCAGCTTCTCTTGGCTTTTTCACACGGTCTACTGCCACTCTGAGAAAGTCTCCCGCACCTTCTCCAAGTATTTCACCGTTCTGTAACCAGAAATATATTTATGTTAGAAGGTGATTGCATATGACTAAATTTTGTATCCCTCGTTCTCTCTCTGTTCCTTTTCTTCCTTAGGCTAGACTACTCTGGTATTGCTCTGCTGATCATGGGCTCATTTGTACCCTGGCTCTACTACTCATTCTACTGCTCTCCCCAGCCCCGCCTCATCTACCTCACAATTGTCTGTGTGCTGGGCATTGCTGCCATCATTGTGGCCCAGTGGGATCGCTTTTCCACACCTCGACACAGACCCACACGAGCAGGCATGTTCCATTTGGTTCAGTCAGGGCCAGGTTTCCTAAATGCATCATAACACAGTGTGTGTCATTGTGAAAGCTAGTATTGTCTTAGACATTTCTAACAAACAGTTGAAGGGGACTTCCACTGATGATTCAAAATGTCTTCATAATGATTAGTAATTGAGCCCCACCAATGAAAAATTTTATATTTTACATTAAACAGCTAAACTATGCTTTATTTACATTTTATTTTAAATACGGTGCATCAAACAATGCCATACCATGCTTGTATAATTTTTACAAAAAAAGTCACCCATACTGTTTTTGTCGATAGGGCTCAAGTGTTAATTTGTAATTAATTTGTTAAGATGTTAAAAAAAGAGATATTAAATACTCCATTATAGAGAAACCCTCAGAGTCTGAATTGTTCACGTGTGTGTGTACAAGACAACACGACCAGAACTAACTGGCAGTAAATGGCAGCGTTCAAGCCTCAAGCCAGAAACATTCTTAGACCTTCAGTCCTGTTAGGTTTTTAACCCAGATTAGGTTTAAGGGAAAAAAAATAGTTGAATTGAAGAAATATTTAGAAGAATGTACATTAAAGACATTAGAATGCTACAAAGCACCAGAATAAAATCTAATACACTGTACAATATATGTATTTTCAAATAACATTAGCGCTGTAATGTTGTCAGCCAGGGGGGCTGCCCCATTAATAGCCCTGCTGTTATTAAAATTCAGCTGAACTGAAAGGGCCCCCCTTCCTGTTTGTGCTCAAAAGCAGTGTCATGTTTATTTGTAGTTCAGCTAAATCTCCACAGTTATGGCTTAGCAAAATGTCTTTTTTTTTTTTCTGCATTTTCACATTTATACCATGACACTTTTTTAGATATTGATTGAACACGAGTTCTTATCTATCTCTTACTTAAACAAGGGTCAAATAGACAGAGTATGATCTATGCATCAATACTTGAAGGATTCATTACTGCATTTGTTGAGTTGTAATAGCTTTGATCTAATGAGTGCTTTAAATATTCTGAGAATCTTATCCTCTCACAGGAGTATTCATGGGCCTAGGACTGAGTGGTATAGTCCCCACAATGCACTTCACAATTGAGGAAGGCTTTGTCAAAGCCACTACAGTGGGACAGATGGGCTGGTTCTACTTAATGGGCGCCATGTACATCACAGGCGCTGGGCTGTATGCTGCTAGAATTCCTGAGCGCTACTTCCCCGGCAAGTGTGATATTTGGGTGAGATTTGACTTTCTTAATCATGAAAATGCTCTTGTCTTATAACGTGAGGTTATCACAATGATGACATTTTGCAAGGTAGTCGTAATACTGTGAAATTAATCTGTATTAAAGCACACATTCACATACCGGTATGACCAACCGTTTGTGTTTTCTGTAAACTGATTGTGATGTTTGTGACATCAGAATTTAGATAAATGTTATGCACTGCAAATAATTGATAAAAGAACAATATGGTTAGTGTAATGAAAAGACATCATCCAGTCTTGGGTTTGTTTCACACACATGTGGTGTGAGTGATGTGGAAGGTGTTTTGTTTTTTTTTAATAAATATATAAAATCTGGTGCTCGTCTAAACCCATCAGGTTTCACATGCACAGCCTATTTTAAAGTTGTCAAAGGTATACAAATGCACCATGCTCTTCTACAGATTTTTTTTTTTAAATAATTGATGTGAATATTTATCCATTTAAAAAAATATATATATATATATATATATAGCTGAAACGCTCCACAGCACTAATGCTGCCACATCACTCCTGTCTCATCGAGAAGGTATGTGTGAAACATGCCTTAATGTCAGTTGTAGTGCATGTTTATGATGCTTGCTTTGCTCACACTTGTCTTTCTCTTCTGTGTAGTTTCATTCCCACCAGATATTCCATGTGCTTGTGGTGGCAGCAGCTTTTATCCATTTCTATGGGGTGTCTAACTTGCAGGAGTTCCGCTATGGGCTTGAGGGAGGCTGCACTGATGATACCCTCCTCTGAGACTTCTGATCCCACCAGCGTTCCCCCTGAAGAGCTGGAAAACAAGAACACCAGTAGCCCCTTTCTCATCCTTTGGTTTCATGTTAAAATTCGATCACTCACACACATACATTTTTTATATATATATATATAATAATTTTATTGATAAATCCTTTATCCTTCACCCTATTCATATAATCCTGTGGGGGATGTTTTGAAGATTGCTCGTGTGACAATACAAAGCCTCTCCAAGTCAAGGATGTGTATTGCTCTTTCTTAGAGTGTGTTTTGAGTAAAGTGTATAAAGCTGAATAAATATTTCAAAGTATTACCCTGACATCATCAAACACTAAACTAAATGCAATATTTGTGGTTTATTTTTATTCTAGTGCACTTTTAACCAACCAAGCTGTAGAGCAGCCTTCCCCATACTAATTGCCCAGTTTTTTTTTTTGTTTTTTTTTAAATGAATTAATAGAATTATGTCTGTATGTTTTGCTTGAATCATACAGACTAAAGAACGCACAATGGGCAAATGGGCAGGGGAGGCAGTATGGTGTAATTAGTTGAGTCTTCTCACTTGACCCTCTTTTGTTCCCCCGCCCCTACCTTTAGTACCAGGTCAAATGGTAAAGTTAACAGAAATGTTGTTGCACATTACTATTTAATATTAAGAATTTAAAACAAACTACTGCCTGGGTGTAAAATCAGGCATGCAGTATGTAAAATATGTACTTCTAGAATTCCTGTGCCTTAGGCCAGTGGAAATAGTTTTATGTAGATTGGCCAAAACTGCAGTCTGGTAATCTTTGTTAGTCTCAAACATAGGCAGACATTTTCTTTAATTCCTAATCACTTTAAGGGTCAGCTTTTTTTTGAGGACTCTTCTCAAACTGCTGTTTATTTAAACTAGTATTTAATCCTTTTTGAATACACTGACTGTGACTTTATTACAGTCTAAAGACTAAACAGTTTGTGTTCATTTGTTGTGTTCTTTGTGGAAGTGATAAATCATACATTTCACAACTGTTAAATGTTATAATAAATATTTATGAATGTTTTAATGTTTTAAATGTGATTGATTTGTGTGGAGTTGTCCAGTTGGGAGAAGGACATGCAGGGATAAGGCTGTTGCATGGAGCAAACGTTAAGATATTATTATAAGCAGTAGTATTAAAGATTATTTTCTGGTGAGATCTTTTTAATAAAGGTAAGAAAAAAACAGAACAACGACAACAACAGGGCGTACGTTTATCAGGCATCCCAGAGAAATAACACTGAAGATCTGGCCGTGCTAGTTCATATAATCCTTCTCAATTCTGTCTAAAAGGCATGAACTTTCTAATCAGTTTTCACTGATTAAAAACACATTTAGCTTGTTATTCAGTGTTCTCGTTAGTCATTATTGTTAGTTCTTAATTATTGTGTTTGTAGATATTGTAGTTTTTAGCCTTTTAGTCTTAGCTTGGTTATGTTAGCTAGTCAGTTAGCTAGCTATATTTACTACTTAGTCTTTCAAATTTAGTCTTTCAAGTTTAGTTTTTCAAATTGTTAAGCATTTTTGAATTTAGCTTTTTCGGGTTCAGAACAATGGGTCCGGTGTGTGCTTACTACGGATGTAAAAGCAGTATTGGATTGCACGCATTTCTCACTGGTTCTGCACTGGTCAGGCAGTGGTTACACATGATCGGTCTGCATCCCAGTACCAACACTCATCAGGATGCATGTTTGCGCACACTCTGATGAGGGCAGCTTCGACAGCTTAATTGAGGTGAAACTTCTGCCTGAAGGACATCTTCGCCTGAAGGCTGATGGTGTCCCTTCATCTGCAGAGCACTTAACATTTCAGGCTAAGGTAAGTAAATGTTATGATTTACTATAGAGCATTTTACCTAAGTTAAGCCTGTTGTGGAATGTGTGTGTTTAAAACCGAGGGATGCGGTCTGATGATAATATAATGCCATATGCAGATGATGCCATTTAATAGTTTTTTTCTCTCTGATAAAGAATTAGTGCAATTTGTCCCCATGTTTTTCAGATGTTAGTGAGGATAAGTTAGCCCACTAACTTAGCAAATGAAGTTACTATCGCAGTAAGTTTACAGAAAGTGAGTGCCAAGTCATCATATTTTGGGATGGGCATTTCAAGTAATTTTGTGGTCGAGTACTTAAACGAAACTGTCTGAAAACGAAGAAGAAAATGAACCAGCGTTAGCTAACATTAGCAATAACCTACATTTGCACCATACCATGCCCGTGCTGTGCCGAATTCGGCACCCCTGTCACGAGATGCATCCGGGAGGTATAGGCCCTTTTCACACTTTGCTACCCTCGTTGCTTTTGGGTGGTATAAATATACTTGGAAAAAAAATGTGATAATAAACACATTCAGTACATTCTTCAACAAAAACAAATTTCCCCTAGGGGTAAGATCTATTGGATGTCCTTTATTGAGGATATCAATTGGAAAAGGGTGTGGCATTTGCCTCATAAATACTGTATATCCAATAAGATCAAAGAAGTTCCTTTTAAAATTTTACATAAGATATACCCTGTGAGTTCTGTTATTTCCAAATTTGTTGACATTAATAGTTTTTGCTTCTTCTGTGGATCTGCTGATGAAACTTAAAACTCCAAGATATTATTTGTTACTACAATAAGTTTACTAACAAGCCTCTTTAGTATATATATATATTTTTCATTCTACATACTAAATTCTTTATTCATAAACAGAAGTTTTCAAATTCTCAACCAACCCTGTCCCTCTTTTTAGTGGAATTTAAATCACTACTCCAGTCCTTACATCTTGTAGAAACTAAGAACAGTAATAGATTTTTGAATTTCTATGACCAGCTTTATGGAGAGACACTTGATTAAATGGTTTTCCTCTTGTATGTGTATGTATGTGTGTGTGTGTGTGTGTGTGTGTGTGTGTGTGAGAGAGAGAGTGAGTGCGTGTATTTTTATATGTGTATGTATGCATCTTCCTTTAGACATAGGTTTTTATATGCAGGTTGTAGGGTTGCATCCTTACTCTCTGACATCATGATGTGCTTGGATGGTATGATGATATTGCTGAGAGTACTGTTCACATATTCTTATATGGTGTCTGATAATGTATTGGTCTGACTTTAAATAAAAAATAAAGTGCTACTGTAGCGTACCTTTTTGCTCAAACAGCAAAAGAAAACAACCGCATTTGAGTTTTCATGACTTCCCAAGAGATGAACATTTACGTGTTGAAAGGATTACAGCAATTAGGAGAGACGAAAGTGCCCAAATTACTATTTTGCGTGGCAGTACATATGTGTGTAGACAGCACTTCGAGCCCGAGGAGCTGTATATAAAAGAGGGAGGAAGCAGAGTTAGACTAAAGAAGGGATCGGTTCCACCCCAATTTGCCTAGAATGATTTTGGGAGTCGGAAGGAAAATCTTCTGGCACCATACGAGAGAGCAAGTACTCGTCTCGGTTTCAACACTGATGCCGCCATGGGAGAGAGAAACGTTAAGGAATTGGAGGCTATGCAGTGTGAGCCCACTGCTAATGTTATGGAGCTTACTGGCGTCCACCATCTCCTGGTAAGTAACGTTAACTCATATATGAATATACATAATAAAAAGTCCGAATAAACAATATAATACTTGTCTACTAAACAGACTGGATATACAATGTACCTAGTAAACAGTCTGAATATACAATGCGTACATGAAAAACAGCCTCAAGATACAGTACTTACATGAATAACAGTCTAAAGATACAGCACTTAACCTGAATAACAGTCAATACAGTACTTACCTGTATAACAGTCTTAAAATACAATACTTAACTGAATAACAGTCTAAAGATACAATACTTACCTGTATAACTGTCTAAAGATATAGTATTTACTTGTATAACTGGATCAAAATAAGCATTGTAATCACCTCCTAAACAGTCAATATAATATATAAAAAATATATAATATATAAAAATAAAACACAGACACACACTTAGATTGACTAATATGATACCAAATAATATGTATGTTGTCTAAACATTGCACATTTATATTTACTACATCAATAAATGTCAAGTACAGAGCTAGTGACATTTTTCTTCACAGTAAAACTCTAGTAAAACTTTTGTCACAGGAACAGTGGATGCTGCCGCTGCAAGGATAAAGGAGCTGGATCAGAAAGCTGGAGAACGAAATAAAGAGGCTTACATTCCTGACAGATCAACCTAAGATGAATCATTTCTACTCAACTGATGAAGAATTCCGTTTCTTCACACAAGGAAATGTTCATGTTGTTCTGGGAGTCTTTTGCACCGTCAGCTTCTAGAATCATTTACTGGACCAAGGCACAGAGGGAGGCATATGGAACACCCAGTGCTCATCACAAACTGCCCCTGAATGAATGTGTTCTGTTTATTTGCCGCATTTCTGCTGGACTCAAGGAACAAGCCTTGGCGTCAGTGTTCAAGGTCAGTTTGTCAACAGTTGGCCGCATCATCACAACATGGACCAGTTGTTTTCACCTTGGTTTGGGCTCTCAACCTTCATGGATGACTCGACAGCAGGTGCAAGCTACCATGCCCAAAAAATTCCGCCGGTATTGCCCAGAGTGACTGCAAAGAGGTCCACTGTGAGACAGCAACATCACTCACCCTACAATCTGGAAGCTTCTCAAATTATAAACATCACACAATATTCAAGGGACTGGTTGGGGTTGCTCCCTGTGGCATCATCACATTTGTTTCCCAGCTTTACACCGGATCCATTTCAGATCAGGAAATAACTCGGAGGTCTAACTTCACCAGGCTGCTACAACCAGGAGATGGAGTGATGGCTGATAAGGTCTTTCAGATTGAAAGGATGTTAGCAGAAGTAGGGGCCACCCTGATCATTCTCCCCTTCAAGAGGTCTGCTCAATTCAGCAAAGAAGATGCTGAGCAGACACAAGCTATAGCATGTTTAAGAGTGCTTGTGGAAAGGGCAATCCAAAGATTGAAGGAGTACCACATCTGGGATGGGGTTGTCCCACTTTCCCTCACAGGCTCAGTCAACCAACTTTGGGCCATCTGTTGCTTGATATCGAACTACCAGGGTCCCCTGGACATCAAGGAGGATAAACCTGTTTGAACTCATGTGTTCATCAATAGGTGTAATTATTCAATCAT